AGGTGGGGACAGTCTGAAGTGCCTGCGAGTTAATGCTTCCCACGAGTGCAGGAGTTTGAGGACCCAACAGCACGCTGCCCCTGTCGCCACACCCCAGGTGAAGCTTACCTGCAGAGCGATCCCCAGTCAGGTGGGAGCTGCTCCTTGTGGGGCTGCCCTGAGACCACACTGCCTTCAGCCCCCTCTGCCCCTGCAGCTTCCTCCTGCCCTCGCTGCCCTGGGGTTCTCACCTCGGGGATGTTCTTGGGGATGGGGCCTGAGACACTGCACCCACAGATGACCTGCTTGGCAGGAGAAGGCCCAGGAGACTGCCAGGGAAACAGCTCGCCAAAGTGCCACCCCCCACCCCACTTGGAGAGTGGGGAGCTCACACACTGGGTGTGATGCCAGGAGGGCCACCACCTGGAAGGCAGTCTGGGATCCCCTGACCCAGCTGCTCCCAGGGCGCTCCTTTGCCCTGCGCATGGAGGGCTGAGTCAGGACTTGAACCTTGGTTGTCTGGCCCAGGTCTGGCTTCAAGCAACCCTCACCCCTTCGTCCTTAAACACCCCTCACAGTGCAGTTGGTGATGAAGGCTTGTGCCCGGGCTTCTCTAAGTGTCTCCTCCTCCAGGCTCCTCTGCCTGCCCTGCAGGTGAGCAACGGGCTGCGTCAAAGACAGAGGCCGTGGGCTGACAGGACGCAGAGGCCGAGCCGAAGGGAGACCTGACTTGAGCGTCCAGAGGTACCGGGGCCCCCAAGTATCCAATGCTTTCTTTGCTGTATGTCTGTCCTCCAGGGCCTTTGGATAACCAGCCCCTTTTAGGTTCCCCTGGGCTCCCCTGGGATGCTCTGGCTTCCTGGACAAGTGTCCCAGCCTCAATGCCTGGGGTGGCCTCGTTAGAGTGTCCTGGGGTTCCCAGGAGACCTTCCTTCTCAAAGTCAAAGCAGATCTGTAGCTCCTGGCTACTCAGCACACCCAGGTTGGGGCCCCGGGGGCAGGCTGCCTCCCATCACCCTTCTGGCAGGCGAAACCCTCTTTGCCTGCTGAGGTGATGGCCTGATACCTGAGTGGCCTGCTTAGCCCAAGTTGCCCAGGACCGAGAAGGACCCCATCTGCTGGATTAAGGTGAGCTACGTATGCTAAGTAATGTGCCAGGCACCGCACCAGGCAGACACAGGATGGGGACTGGGAGAGGTGGGGGAGTCTCTCATCAAAGGAGGAAACTTCTACAATGGGGTCTTAGCAGATGGGTAAGGGCAGAGAAGGACTTTCCAGAGGGGAAATAAAAGTTTAAACGAATATTAAATTATGAAGGAGAGACAGAGAGAGAGGACAGAAAGAGAGAAGCCGGAGTGGTTTGTGGGTGCCTGGGGGTTGGGGCTGGGTGGAGTTGTACCAAGCACACGTAGCACACAGTAGGGACTCAAAATCTGGTGCCTGCATGAATGGAGCACCCCCGGGGTCTGCGGAACATAGCAGGAGTCCAGGAACACTTCGCTGAATGAACCAACTGTAGGCCCCTGCTCAGCGCAGGCGCAGCGGCCCAGGCACTCGCTGAAGGCTGGCTGCGCCGACGAGTGAATTAATGAATTGGTGATGTCATGCAACTAGCGGAGACGACTGTCGCGGCCTCCTCCTCGGACAGCGGTGACGACCTTGCCATTCAATCCCTGCCGCCCCGCCCCCACTGGAGCGCGCTCTAACGCGGAGCAGATGGCGGGGGCGGCGCAGGCCGG